TGGTGCTGGTACTGGTGCTGGTACTGGTGCGGGCTCGACCTCGACCTTCACCATGCCCAAGTCGATGCAGACCCACCCCACCACCCCCTCCACCTCGGGCTCGGGCTCGGGTACGGCTACGACGTCCGGTGCTGGACGCATGGACATGGTGGGTGTGGTGTCGATGGCCGCTGCGGCTGTCACCATCGCCTCGGCTGCTGGCCTCCTTGTGCTCATCTAAGCCGCCCCCACTTTTCTCGCTCATAATTTGCACTTCCGAGTTACTTCTCCGCTTTCGCATTCATCAACAGTCCTTCCAGTCATCCTCTGTCTCTCCTTTCTCAACTTTGCTCACAATACAACGCTTGTCTTGCACTTCAGACCATGAAAGGCGTGATGCTAAACAGTGACTTTTGATTCTGCTTCCATAGCAATCTAGAATGCATGCGAGCCCATGATGCGGCTTGGCTTCATCTCTGCAAAGTCGCGCGTGACCCTGTCAAGTCCATCTGCGCTCCTCTTCTGCGCCGATTCCTGGCCTTGCTGGGGTACGAGTTTCCAGAGCTTGATGCCGTGCTTTGGCACAGTGACGTTGTCGATGCTTCCGCTGACCGTGCCGACGAGCATCTTGTCCATGGCAACTGGCTCTGTGGGGTTCTTTGTGAAGTCAACGCCCTTCCAGAGGTCGTAGGCGGTCCAGGACTGCTGCGCGAGGTCCTCGCCCTCGAGGTACTCGTCGTAGAAGACGTCGTCGAGGCTGATGGACATGTTCTTGGGCGATTCGGACACGTTGATCACTGCAACGGCGTAGGTGTCGTTGGAAAGACCGATCTTCCACAGCTGCGTGTTGCCGTCCGACTCCTGCTTCTTCCACATGCGCGTGGCGGGCGAGCCCTTGGGGTCCTGCGAGATGTCAATGACGTGCTTGTTCTTGATGATCGCCCGGGTCTGATTGGTCATCTTGGTGAGGTCGTTGCCGAGGATGAGCGGAGACTTGACCATGGCCCACATGGAAAAGTGGACCAGGCTCTCGTCGAGGCTGAGACCGCGGTTGCCCACTTCGAGCATGTCGAGGTCGTTCCATGCGCCCGGATACGCCTTCTGGCCAAGACTAGCTGCGAAATCGAGGATCTTGGCGACGCTGCAGTGGAAGCCTTGCAGATTGCACGTCGTAATGTCGGTGCATGGACACCTATCATCGTCACGGTTGAAAGAGGGGTAGATGTCACCCGAGATGCGCCACGAGTTTGCGATCTCCTGAGCGAAGAGCCAGGGCCAGTCCTCGCCCCAGTTGCACATGGAGTAGAGGATGGGGTCGCCCTCGGTCTTGTTGAGCGCCTGGGACATGGCGTTGTATCGGTCGAATGAGATCTTGGGTGTGCCCTGCTGACCCTGGTTGAAGCAGTTGTCGTACTTGAGGTACTCGAAGCCGGCGTTGGACCAGCTCTTGGCGTCGACGTCCTCGTAGCCGAGCGAGCCGATGTGGTGTCCGCAGGTCATGGTGCCTGCAGACGAGTAGATGCCGGCCTTGAGGCCGAGGGCCTTGATCTCGTCGACGATGGGCTTGAGGCCGTTGGGGAACTTCTCCGGGTTGGCCGGGATCTCCTTGGTGTCGGGATCGCGCTGGTCTGCCTGCCAGCAGTCGTCGATGATGACGTAGTTGTAGCCGAGCTTGTCGAGGCCCTCGCTCTTGATGGACTTGGCGGCGGAGAGGATGGTGTCCTCACTGATGTTGCAGGCAAAGGTGTTCCATGTGTTCCAGCCCATCTGAGGGGTGAGCGCGAGGCCGTTGTTGTATGCCGAGGCGAAGCCGGCGAGCGCCAGAGGCACGAGGGCAGCAAAGGTAGTGGAGACCATGTTGCCGAGTAGGTACGAGAGGGTGGTGACGTGAGCGCGGGAAAGGAGCGAGTTTCCGATGAGCTTCTTTATACGTGTGGCGACCGTCGATCAGGGTCTTTGCTGAGTGTGGGGGAGGGGCAGCGAGGGCATTGGTGGAGTAAGCGGCGGAGTCCTGAGCGATGGGACTGTATAGCCGCTGCTGGGCCTCAGCGATTTGTTTGGCATGAGCGAGCGAGCGGCGGGCGCAAAGCTGATTGGGCATGGGGGACGTGAGGATGCGGCATGTGACACTTGCAAAGCGGGGATGGCGGTGAACGCCGACCGAGTCCGCCGCGAGAGGAGGCGTATATGGCCTGTGGACGTTGGCGAGTCGAGCTTGTGGGGAAGGTTGCGGGGACGGGGTTCGGGCTGCAGAGAGTGCAGCAGCGGTGTTCTTCGGGCCTGGTCGGGGGCGCTCAGTGTGGAGGAGCCTCGCCCACATGTGCGAAGGAGCACAGAGTGCTATGGCAAGCCCACTGTGTGCGAGCCGGAAGCCGAGAGTGCCGAGGAGAGCCGGAGCAACCTTGGGAAGCGAGAGGAAGACATTCCGAAATCGGCGCGAGAAGCTCTCGGCTAGAATGGAGCGGCAGGCGGCGGTGGTGGTGGTGGTGGCCGAGGGCGAGGGCGAGGAGCAGGGTGTGGTGCGCTGTGACGCTGTGACGCTGTTGGACAAGCGGAGCCTCAAAGTTTTCTCGCTTCGCTACGCGGCGGAGAGATTTCGGTGCAAATTGTTTGGGTCGCAACGCGCCGCCTGGCCACGTTCAAGCCTTGACTCTTGTTCGTCCCACTTGCACTGTCTCGCCCTTCGGCAGTGGATACGTTGGCTCTTGTGCTCATGCTTGCACGGCAACTTGACGGGAGCAGGATGAAGTAGCGGATTCGTCTAAACAACCTTTGTGGTGGGGCGCTCACGGTCGAAGTTGCCGCGGCGCTTTTCTCGGAGGCTCTTCGGCTCGGTCCAAATTTAGCCGTCCGGTTTTTGCCGGAAATCATTAATCACAATGTTATGCTTGCCGACGTAACACTGTGGAATTGTCGCCCCGGTGTTGACCTGTGGAGGAGGAGCAGCAACGAGGGTCCACTTTGTCCAGGGCTGCACGCGGCGCGCACGGATGCGGCTTCACCATCATCACCTCGACACACCCGCACCCAGCCTCGGCCTTGCAAGTCGCTCCTCGCCAAACTCTTGGCTCGCCCATCGGGGCTATAGGATACCATGGCGCTGTCCCTTCTACCTCGCAGTTCTTCGCAATAATGGATGCCGATCTGGCGCGCGAGCTCCGCGAAGCCACGGACCAACTCCTCGACGTCGTGCGTCCACAGCCACCCGCCTTCCCCGCTTCGCCACATCTGCAGCAGCTTCCATTACCCGCCAAGGCAAATTGGACTTCCCTACCTCCATCCAAGCCGCCCGTCTTTTCTCCAACCTCCAAGCTCGAGCTTCTCCACTCGCCCACCGATGTCCGCCCGTGGCAGTGGCCCACGCCGCCATCCACTGCGACTGACACCGATGCACCCAGGAGTCCATCGCCTTCTGCGCAGAGAGCGAATCGAGAACCGATCAAAATCAAGCTCAGCGCGGATGTGGTCGACGACGCTGATGACAATCTGCCCGCACGCGGCCTGTCGAGCCGAATCGGATCGGTGATAGGTGCATCCCACTCGCACGATGCGCCGCCTCGTGCCATGCTTTCTGCATTTGCTACCGAAGATGAGCACCGTGCTGCTTCGCCGTCCAAGCTGCGGGTACGGACGCCTGTCAATGACATCTACATCAACCAGTACGGCGAACGCGTCGTCCAGGGCAAGGTCGTCGGTCGCGTACTTGGAGGTCGCCCACGCCCGCCGTCTCTCACCTCTCCGACCCTACACTCCACCAGCGCTCCAACCACAGAAGCAGAAACCAGTCCAGAGGCGTCACGAGACTCCTCTCTCCCAGCACTCACAAGGTCTTCACATACGACAGTGAGCGATGCCGGCCGCAATGCAACCAGCCCACCCGCCTTCTTCCTCGAATCTTTTCCAAACGCATTTGCACCGCCAGCGCCACCAGCATCCTCCGTGCCTGCAACCAAGAACAGGCCTCGCAGGAGCTCCAAAGGCGGGCCTCCGAACATGCTCAAGGCGCCGCGTGCCGTCGCAGGAGCACTCACTCTCGCGCACTCGGACAGCACTGACGACGCCGTGCTCGTGCGCGATGCGAGCTTTCACACGGCGTCCGAAATCGGCTCTCCTGCATCATCCTCATCCAAGCAGCTCTCGCCACCTCCGCCGCGGGTCATGGCGAGTGCTGAGGCAGAGATGGATGCCGCTTTCGGCAAAGTGCAGCTGGATGCTCCTGAGCCGGCAAGACGATCGGCAACGTCGACACCGCTGCTGTCGCCGAACCAGGGCGTGGGCACCTCGGACACCACGCGCGGGAAGCTCGAGCTCGACTCGTTCCGACGCCCCACACCGACCATCGAGCTGAGCCAGGCAAAGAGCGAGCCCGTCAAGCTACACGCCAATCGTCGCCAGGCCAGAGCGTCGGGCGTGGTCACCCCGCCAGCGGCAGCGACGGAAGAGGCAAGCGAGGGTCACACGCTGGAGCACATCGAGCCACCTCGTCATGTGCGCCACGGATCGGCATCGGAACCCACGAGCCCTCTCATGTCGCCACGGCACATGGACAATGACGATGTGGATGGAGCTGACGATGCTGCTTCGCTGGAATCGGCGCCTTCGTCGCTCATCTCGCTGCCTGTCTCGACGCACACCACATCCTCGCGCACGCCGAGCCATACGAGCCTCGAACGGCGACGCAGTGGGGGCAGCGTGTCATCGCCATCTCGGCGACGGTCTGTGCGGCGGAGTGAAGGCGACGAGCGTTTTGCGCGCGAGGTGCGTATCCGCGGCTGGTCCGAGGTGGGCAGTCAAGCGCGCGGGTGGGTGGTGTTCGAGATCGTCGTGACAACCACGCACGGCACGCACATTGTGGCGCACAAACGCTTCAGCAGCTTCGTCAACCTGCACCGTGCACTGGCGCACGAATGGCCACAGCACGCAAAGTGGCTGCCCAAACTGCCGACGCGCACAACGGGTCTGCTGAGCAAGTACGATGCGCGCTACCTCGAGAAGCGACGAACGGCTCTTCAGAGGTGGCTGGATGCGGTCATGCTCGATAGAGTCTGGGGCACTGCAGAGGCGTTGAGAGAGTGGGTGCTTGCAAGCGATTGACCCCAAAGCCCGAATCAAACCATTGCAACCCGGCTTTGTCAGTGTGCTGTTTCGATGTGCAAACTCGGGCCAAGAAGATGAAAACGCGGGGTTGGAATTGGCCAAGAGTCGAGGTGCAGATGGGTTCTACTCTTCCTCGGTTGCTGGCGCAGCAGGAGGGTTACGAAGCAACGAGTCTTGGCGCGTCTTTCCACGCAGCTCCCATCGGTCCTACAATCGCAAATCCCCTCATCAGTCTCTGCTATTCATCTAAGGTTCCGTAGGGGGCTTGGGGACTTACGTCGGTGTACTGTGCGGCGTAGTACGTGAGCACGGGCACAGCAAGACCCCAGAGCACAATGTTGCGCGCCTTGGATGGGGTGATGCGGAAGCGCTGGTACATGGTCGAGTGCATGTTCTGCCATCGATCCAGAGCCGGATCGGCCTTGTATGGGTCTATCCAACCATCGTCAAGGTCAGCCGAGCGAGATCAGGAGTGCGGTGTGTTGGAGAAGGTGCCGACTTACGATATCCTCCGCCAGCCATTTTCAAAGTGCGAATGTGGAGCGAGATGGGGTGGTGTTGGTGTTGGTGTGGATGGTGTTGGAGAGAGATGATGCAGGAGAGGACGGTGGATATCGTTGATCGCGCTCGGATCCGTTGGCGGGGAGCGATTCTAACATTCGGGATTGGAAAAATTGTCTCGCGCGAGAAATCCTCACCTCCACCTGGCTTCTCGACCTTCTGGACCCTTCATCCCCCCCGCAGCTCAGCTTGACGCTTTCGTTCTTGTTACCATCCATTTCCTTCCTTGGCGCAAGTATGAGTGGTCGACGTGCGCCTCCTGCACCGCGTCCATACGCAGATGCACCACGATCGTACCGCGACGAACCGAGCTCATCGCGCAGACGACGAAGTCCAAGCCCGCCCCGCTCGCGCCACGATGAGCGCGATTGGCGACGAGACGACCGCGATGATCGTGACTGGAGACGAGACGATCGTGACGACTACCGCGTGCGAAATCGCGACGCTGATCGATACCGCCACGACGATCGACCTCGTGTACGCGACCGCGATGATCCCCGACACGAACCCCCACGTCCACGTCCCGCCGCGTACAACGACGAGCGAGATCGTAAAGTGCGCGACCCACCATCGACCAGCCGCAGAAGCTATTCTCCACCCCCGCAACCTCCACACCTACCAGAGACAAGCGAACCAAGGGAAAAGGAGAGCAATGGTGAAGGTAAAGGTGAGGATGAAGGGGATGTGGATGCGGATGCGGATGCGGATGCAATGGCGGCAATGATGGGCTTTGGTGGATTCGGCACCACCAAGGGCAAGAAAGTCGACGGCAACGCCGCTGGTGCAGCCCAGGTGAAGAAGGAACGCACCTGGAGACAGTACATGAACCGAAAGGGCGGCTTCAACCGTCCACTCGACAAGATCAAATGAAAGCCACCACTTCACGCACTCGCAATCCGTTGAAAAAGGTTTGTGTGCCATTCCTACATCAGCTCTGGGCTCAATTTGCCAGTACGACCTTGAGCATCTCTGCCCCCACGGCACCAGCCTCTTGGAATCGATGCTCAAAGAAGCGGCGTGTTTCTTCAAAGCGGCGCTGGTAGCTGTCGAAGTTGCCAAACTGCACCGCCTGCGCCCACCCGCGCGAGGCGATGACGAACTCGGTGTCGTCGGCGCGGAAGCTGTGATCGCGCGCCGCGGCGTGGCACGCTTGTCGCAGCCGCTCGGGCGAGCGGAAGAGGTACTCGCATACGCCGATCCAGATCCGAAAGATGGGCGTGGCGGCCAGATCGAGGTGGTCGTAAGGGTTGATGCCCAGCTCGCTCCAGCAGTCGACAATGGCGAGCAGCGACAGATGCGAGTTGGGCGGTGTGGCTGCAGCGGCTGCCTTGACCGCCTCCTGCGTCGCTTGCGCCGACTCGGATGCACCAGAGGAGACGGCTTTGCGTGCGGCCATGTGGAATCGATCGAGCAGCTTGTCACTCATGAGGATGGGTTTGCGTTCCTCCTTGGCACCCGTGCGCGAGATGACGCTGTTGCTTTCTTCTTCATTCTCCCAGCCAAACACCTTGCGGCGGGCGGCAAAGACGCGTTCCATCAGCTCGTCCTCGCGCTCGGCGACCATGAGCTTGAAGAGCATGGTGCAGCTTTGTGCAAACTGCGTGACCTGCGTCTTGGCGGCCGGATTGAGCAGTGCTAGTCCGGCATAGACGTGCCATTTGGCCGAGTAGATGCGCAGACAGATGTTGATCTTGACCGTCTCGATGCCGCCCGGGTAGCGCTCCGACTCCCAAGGATACTGGTTGGAGCAGCTCCAGGCGGTGCCCATGGAGAGGAAGGCGGCGTGTGTGACGGCTTGGGTGTTGGCGGTGACGGTGTCGTGCTCCTCGTAGGTGAGGTAGACAAAGTTGGATTTGAAACACGCCATGATGCGCTCGACCAGACGCAGCTTTTCGTCGGGCGCACGGTGCTGGATGAGGATGAGCGGCTGACCGGTGGGGTCGACTTTGGGACCGTGCATCGAGTGGCACGAGATGATGTAGGTGTCGTTGGGCAGGTGCTTCTCGAAGGCCTCCTTCTCTGGCGCCTTGACCGACGTCTGGCCGGCGACGATGGCGCCGATCTTGGTCGAGGATCCGTACTGCGCTACGACGGCGTCGATGTAGGCGGCTTCGACCGAGTAGATGATGTAGTCGCTTCGCCGTGAGACGAGATGCCCGTCGCGGAGGACGTTGAGCCCGGAGCCTTGGAGCTCTGTGCGGAGCTTGTCGTAGTTTTCCGGACGGTCGCAGACGTTGACCTTGGTCCACCCTGCGCCTCGCATCTTGGTGGCGTAGAGGCGGCCCATGTCGCCCATGCCGATGATGCCGATCTCGACAGTGTCCATTTCGGATGTGGAGCCCATGGTGAGGATTGTTGGGGGGGTGGGGTGGGAGAGATGGTGGTGGTCCGGCCGACGGCTTGATTGGGGCTGCTGCACTTTTGTTGGCTTCCCGCGTCCGAAGTTGAATTTAGGCGTGACTCTGAAAAGCAGCGGAGGTGGAGGCGGAGGGGCCGACTCGCGAGACCTCTGCGAGACCAACACCGTGCGCTGCTGCTGACTGCTGCTGCTGACTGCTGCTGAGCGCTTTCTTTTTGGACCCTGACCAAGCTCAGTCGGATTCGTGATTGTGATTGTGACAGTTAAGAAGAAGTGGCCATTCATCAACGGCTGATCCGCCTTCTATCTCATCATCACATTCGGGTCGATCCGTGGCTGACCTGCGCCTCTGATCACAGAGACGAATCGCACCGGCTGCTGCTCTTCTTCCCATCAAATCGAAAATGGCTTCCTCCTAGCCACATCCATCTCTCCCGCTTCATCACGGTCGGCTGCGCCAACATGGCCTTCTCCCTCCAGGAAGCACTCGAACAGATCCGCAGCGACAAGGTCAAGGATCGCCAGCAGGGGCTCGAAGCCATCGATCACATCTTTGCCGACGCCGAGAATGTGCGCAACCTCGACCCGAAGCACGACGGCCGCGCGTGGCTCAAGACCTTCCAGTCGCTCTTCGCCTGCGTGCTCGCAGAAAAGACAGCATGCATACGCAAGGGATCCTTTGTCGATGCGCAGCCCACGGCGCTTGCACGACTCCAACGCGCCGCCCAGACGCTTCGCTCCCTCGTCGACAAGTCGGCCTCGCTGCTCACTCGTAAGGTGGTCAAGGCGCTCGTGATTCACATCCACCAGATGCTCAACCACCGCGGCACCCTCCTTCAGCCCATCGCACCTGCCTACATTGCCGCCCTCTGCACTATCCTTCGACTGCCGCATCACGTCGATCACCTTGATCCCGAAGACTGGTCCGCTGTGGCTTCCTTGTGCTTCGACGTTCTGCTCACACGCGAGCTCGGCACCGACATTGCGACACCTGCCGATGCGCAACAGTGGCTCGCAACCGCTACCTCCACCCAGCAACCTCCTCTGCAACGGCGCGGCCTCAGCCTCGAGCATGCTGTCACGGCAGAATGCCTGAGCCTTCTCATATCCAGCAGCGTCGCTCCCCTCCTGGGCCCACACGGCTTCGGCTTGCCGCTTCTCGCCGACTACGTGCGCTTTCTGCTTGCCTTTCCATCCGAGTCGTCCGCCCATCTCCCCACCCTGACCGGCCTCGTCGTCTTGCTCGAGCATCTCGAACTCAATCATACCTCCGAAGTCGTCCTGGCCACCCTCGCCGTGCGCCATGTCCTTCTCAACCTCTGGAAGACCAAAAATCATCTTCTCAAGGCACAGCTGCTCCTCCTCTTCCGCATCGTCACCGACCTCATCGCCTCCTTCGCCCTTGCACGTCCAGACGCCGCATCATCGCAACATCACGTGTTGCCATCCGACGACGCCATCGCCTTTTTGCAAGCCATCCACGATACGCTCCTCAGCGATCCAGACAGTCGCTGGGCACTCGAGCCGCTCCACATTGACGCCCTTCTTCTTCGCTGGCCTCAACATCCACAGCCCGTTCATCGCCACATCGCTCTTGGCAATGCCGCTTTCAGCCTCAGTCCCGCATCCTCCGACAGGGACGCGCTCGCGTGGTGCCGAATCGGCCTCCAGGTCGACCTCATCGACGCTCTCACCACAATAGCAGGCCAGCCCATCGACCGTTCCGATCGCCCTGCCACGTCCAATCTCGACGATCACGCTGCCGCCCCTTCTACCCAGGTCTCTACCTCGCCCGCCAAGCGCAGACGCGCGACTACTACCTCCAGCCCGCAAAAGCGATCCAGGCTCAGCTCAAACCAGCCAGCCGGACTGTCCCCGGAAGCCCAGGGTCTCATTCCTCTCATAGGCATGCTCTCACACAGTGATGCCTCGGCGCCATCCAGTCCAGCAGCGCGTCTTTCCGCCGTGCAGCTTCTCACCTTCCTCGTGCTCGGCAAGCCACATCTCCTCACTCCCACCGCCATCGACCGCCTCGAAAAATGCTTGCTTGCCTTGACAGCGGATGCCGACACCGCCACGGTCTCTTGGAGCTTGCTCGCATTGGCCTCTATCATACTCATGCACTCGCCTTATGCCGACGATGCCTCGAGGCAGCTCTCTGCCACCCAAGCTTGGGTCATTGCAACACGCAAGCTGCAGCTGCCAGCCACCTCTCGCGCTGCCGCGTACCTACTCAGTGTCCTGCTCGCAAGCTCCGCACTGCCAGATTCCAAGCTTCAGCCAGAGATCGCTCGCTTGCTCGCCGATATCGACCTGCAGGGCCCACCAATAGTCTGTGATAGCGTCTGCCATCTCATGGCCCTGCTCTTGCGTCACACCACCTCCAGCCGCGCCTTTCATCACCTCGACCCCAGAGCAAAAATCGGTGCATGGTTCGCCAGCACTTACTCTCCATCAGCAACAATATCATCTTCGGCATCCAGCGGCTCTTTTGTCTCCTACGACGATCTCATCCGCCTCGTCGATTGCATCGTTGCAGAAAGCCATCCGCAGTCCTCGTCGCGAGCTTCTCTCGACGTCACCAGCTGCAATCCTGGCGCCGCTTTCGCCTCGGCACAACGGCGCGCAAGGCTGCAGCCTCTGCGCGATCTTCTCCTTCGTTCTGCGATCGCGCATGCAAATCTTGCGGATGTCACATTTCAAAGCGACGCAACAGCGGCTAACCCTGCCCTCATGTCTGCCGAGGCTCTGCACCGTATGACCGTCGTGCTGGACAGGAATGTCGACGCCTGCCTCAATGCTTTGCAAGATTTCACTGCCGATACAAACGGCGCAGCATCCTTGACAGGCCACGCAGCCATCGCGGCGCTGCATCTGGCCATCTTGGCGCTCGACATTGGCACGAGATCAACCAGCCAAACCGGCTCACATCGCGCGTCCAGCATTCGAAGCTGCTGCCAAATCGTCGTCAGGATCCTCGCTATTGCATCCAGTGTGGATGCCGTGCGCAGCGGTACCTACGCTCTCGCAATCGAGCAACTCACACTTCTGTCGCCATCCGCCGCCTTCACTTCAGTTTCATCGAGAACGAGCGATCTACTCGTCGATCCCGGTCCCAGTAGCGGGATTGCGGCTCGTCTCCTCGTCAAAGAGCAGCCAGAACAACCTCGATCCGGGCATCCTGCCCGTGACGAATCATCGCGACGCATCTGGAAGGCCATCCGCGATGTGAATATGCTGGATACTGTGCTCGCAAGCTGTGCAAAGCTGTTCGAGGTCACGCTCTTTGGCGACGACCAAGCCGAGGCCGAACCGTCGTCCCAAGTCCCTGTCGGCACAGGAGATATCTTTGACGACGTGCCGGAAAGCAGCTCCTCCACCCTCTTGAACGCTACAGCAGCAGCTCACGTCGGCTCTCCCGCTTCCATCGAGGTGGTCGTCCGCTCGACCGTGCGCCTGCTCTTGGACGTGCCGCGCATCGTGACCGGTGCAGCCGATGCGCGTCACCAGG